GGACGGGCCACGGGCACCCTCGGAACCTGCGGCGCGCGCAGGAGCACCGGGACGCTCGTGGCCAAGGGCGCGGGCACACATGCCGTGGTCCGCACGCCCAGGGACGCACTCGCGCTCCCTGCAAGCTTATGCGCACCGAGTCCCACACGCACCTGGAAAAGCACTCCCGGAAAAGCCAAGGACCCCCAACCGTGAAGGCGCAGGGAACCGCAGGCACACCTGTGGGCGCACACGGGGCCCCCAGCGCACCCCACAGCTCAAGCACTCGCCGCAGCACAGCCGCACCTCCCCGAAACCGCCGGGCGGGCCGCACGCCCAGGCATGGGCACGCGGAGAGGCCAGCGCACATGCGGTTACGAAACCCTCCGCCTCTTTCGACATGTGCCCCGCCGTCCACGCAGAGGCGCGCGCAGAGCCACGTGCCCCCCTGAACATGCGAACACCCCCTGGAAGCATGCAGATGGCCGAGCACCTGCTCAGGCACACACGCCCCACATGCCTGCACACACAGCCAGGGCCTCGGTTCTGCCCAAGCGTATTTCATGCACATGCACAGCCACACGCCTGATGTTCACAAACACGCTACCCAGTCCCCAGAACTTAGAAGCCACAGGCTCTCGGTTGCACACTCACCTAAACACGCTTACACACGATCACACCTGTCTGCCCACAGTGACATGTGCGGGCAGGCTCACAAGTATGCTTATCCCCCACTCACAGATGCCCACCAAGCGCTCCGCACATGTTCCAGGCCCCCTGGGGAGCCTCCAGACGGGGTTACAGGGCCATGGGGTGGGGGATTCAAACCCTACCAAAGACCTTCCTTCTCCAAAGAGCTCCTAGGGAAAGCCCCCAGCCCGGGCCTTAGAACCCTACGCTGGGTTGGGCAGCGTCCCACAGTCTTGCCTGGGTATGGGAGGTTCAGGAAGATTTTGGAGGAGCTTCTAGGCAGCAGTGGGGGACGGAGGAAGGTGATTAAAGGAGGTCGGGACCCTCGGGGAGGATCCTCTGTGTTCGCCGCATTTGCATAGGTTAGTTTGCATACAGATCCCAGCTGCAGGATTGGGTGCTCACCCATCTCATACCCGCCCCACGTCGTCTCCCCTTTCCCACAGTGCTGGTGCTGGTGGAGGGGGGGGGCATATATCTGCTACTATGAACCTGGGGTGGGACGTTGGCCTTCCAGCCATCTCACAGGGACCTGGAAGGTTTGAGGACACTTACAGACCTGGGGACATGTGTGGGAAGCTAGGTCATGGTGAGGGCCCAGGCACACGGGTCCTAAGGCCCTAAGTCTGAACTGGGGTGGAGACTCCAGGCTATTTCTTGGTTGGCTCCCCAGAGGCTGGAGGGAAGCCCTCAACCCCTTGGGGAAGGTGCCCCTCCCCTAGTGTTCTCTGCTGAAGACCCAGAAAGGGACACCCACCCAGTGCCCCTACCTTCCCATTACCCCCCTTCTTCCATGGACCCTTCTCAAGCGAAGAAACTGAGTCCAGATATGGACCGTCCTTGGCCCAAGGTCCCCGGCTACAATGAGTGGCCGGCGGGCCCAGACCTAAAGGCCCAACTGTCCACTGAATGGAGGTGGCCATAGCTTCCTGGATCCCCACCACCACCTCTCTTCCCTCCAAGGACCCTGACCTCAGCCTCCAAAATTATCCTACACAGTTGAGCAGGCAGATCGGGAAGGCTGGGTTCTCAGCCAGACGATCAGGACAGGCGGGGATCTCTGGGCTGAGCAGCCCCTGTCGAGCACCACCCCCTTCAGACCGAGTCACGAGGTGCCGTGTGGACTGCAAGGAGCACCAGGGGGGCCCTAGAGGCCATCAATGCGCCCCCATCCAGACCCCTCCCTCTCACCGCCGCCCTCCCCAGTTTTGGAAAGGGAAGGAGGCCTGGGCGTCCGTGTCCAAATGCCACAGGCTTAGCTGGAGAGGGCATTCCCTCTGCAGGCTGGCACCTGCTTGCTAACCCAGCTCCATCCCCTGACTGCTGAGGGCCCTGGGCCAGTCACTTCCCCTCAGAGCCCACCTTCCTTGTCTATAAACAGAGATGCCACACTTGTCCCCAGAGGGAACTTGGGTTTTCACGCGTAGAAAGCCACTGTTCTTACAAGGCCTGGCCTCTCCTGCCCTTCCAGCAGCTGCCACCGGCCTCGCCCAGTCGGCCGCGGGGAGCTGGGGGGGGTGGGGCAGGGGCTTTTGGAGCCGCCTCTGCCAGAGCCCCCTGCAGGGCTACTGCGGGAAGGGGCCTCAGCCCCACAGGACCTGGGACCCGGGAGCTTTCTGTTGCTTTGCTCTAGTGTCAATAAGCGTTTGTAAATTCAGGAGACCAGAGGCTTCTTTTCAGCCAGCAGAGGAGAGAAAGGGTCTCTCAGCGGCGGCAGGGAGAGAGGCTCTTGATTGTCACCGGCTTCGCGGCTGCACAGAAAGCATGAAAATGCCAGTCGGGTCCCTTGGGGAGAAGTCAGCACCGTCTGCTGTTTGCAAGCAGACCCTGGGGGCTGGCGAGTGCAGGGCTGGAGGAGTCGGACAGACGGATGCTCCTCTATCTGTGCCCTCCCCGCCTCCCCTTCCCTTCTCTCCCTTTCCCTTCCCTTCCCTCCCCTCCCTTCCTTTCCTCTCTTCTCCAAAGTACAAACCTCTGGGATCCCAGAGGAAGCATGCAGCCCCCACCCCCCACACAGCAGAGCTTGGCAGGTGGTCTACACAGGTAGGGACTAGATTGGACCTTGAGCCTGGGCTCCTTCCCTCTCCCAATCCCAGCGGCTCCGCCGGAGGTCCCAGCCCCCCCGCCACAGCCAGAAAGTGTCCTCTGTCCCTTCTGCCCAGAGGCCAGAGGCCAGCTGGTTGGACAACAAGGGAGCTGGTGATGGGTGAAAGTTTTCTGAGGGAGCCAGAGAAATGTTATCTCCAGAAATGTTATCTCCGGCCCTTCTCCAAACACTGACACCACCCCAGCCTACACCAGACCCCTTGGCCCTTGATTAGGACAGAATGCTGAGCAGGGAAGACCAGCAGGGCCCAGCTGGAGGGGCCCCTGGAGGCCAGCTTGTCCTGGGCGTGCACAGCAGGGCAAGGCAGCTGGGGGGGCTCACCCCATCCTGCTTTGCACCCCACCCAGTTGATAATTGCCAAGCTTGGTTTTGGAGGTATCTACACCTGCATTGGTCCGGTCCTGGTGGGATATTACACAGTTGGGGAAACTGAGGCCCTGTGAAGACCCACAGGAGTTTTGTTCCCCCTTTCCCCTCCCTCCTACCAAACACCCTGCATTCTCCATCTTCCCTCCAAGGGACAACTCAGCTCCCTGGCCCTGCCTGAGATACAGGACTTCCCAAAGGAACTGCTCATTTAACTGAGGGGCCAGTTAGTCAGGAACTGAAATATCCCAGAGACAGTGGGCAGGAAACTTCCCACCCTAACTCTTGGGTTAGAAGTTCACAGACAAGCTGGCAGGGGGCTGGCTTTTCTGCTCCCTCAGCTCCAGATTCCAGCTCAGCCCCCACCCACAGCAGAGGCCATCTGCTTAGGCCTCCCCCAGCGGGCTGGGGACTGCAGGCCCATTTCAGAGATGAGCACGCTGAGGCTTGAAGACCCTGAGACGGCTGTGCAGGTAATGAGAAGCAGAACTGGGATTCGAGCTCCCTGCTCAGCCAACCGGAGCTTAAGAGTGAGCCAGCAGGGAGGATGGTGGGGAGGCCCAAAGGGAACCCCTCACTCCCAGCGTTGGCTGGGGGCGCAGCCCAGCCATCCTGGGGGCTGTGAGGGCTCCTGCAAACGCCTGAGAGACACACAGCTGCTGCTACCCTGATTTTCCCCCCAGGCTAAAGTTTGTCTCTGGAAAGAGAAATTCTCTTT